ACTCTTATGCTTCAATTCAGTTATGTTTAGCCATTTTTATATAAATTCTAATAATAAAAAAGTATTATATGAAATTAACCTTTCATCTAAATTAAAACAATAATCTTTAGCTAGTTATTTAGTATGGTACTTCTTTTCTTGCATTAAGGTTACCGCAGTTATTTTTGGCAGCACTGACATCAACAATAGTTTGGCGATCAGGCGCTTTTGTCTAGAAAATTGATCTGTTTTGCCTGGTATGCAGTGCTGAAGTTTTATAACAACAAATTTGTGCATTCTCTGATTTTTTCTTTAAGCAAAAACAAATCATTGTACATTGGAAAAATAACAGCATTTAAAAAAAAAAAAAAAAAAAAAAAAAAAAAAAAAAAAAAGATTCCTCAAAAGAAAAGACTAAGTTGCTTGATTGGCCTTGCATGGCATACTTAGTTTGCTAACAGTTTGAAAATGGCAATGGCTCCTATTTTTCAGGCATTAGCTTGGAGAAAAATTAATTTGCAAATGATCTCCAAAGTTGGCAACAAATTTATGACTTTTGGGTAGGTTCATATAATCAAAATTTATCAATTTCCTTTATCAAATAGTCATTTTTTTCCTCCACAACTTTTTTTACATGGGACAATTTGAAAAGTTCATATAAATAACTGAAAGATACGTGGATGAAAGTTTTTACTTCATTTTAAATTACTTTTTTGTAACATTTTGCTCTTAGAGAGAATTCTTCCTTGATTTAATCAGTTTAAATTAATTATGCTTATTTATTTGTGCTGCATTAATATTCCTAGTATTTTATCACTGACTAAAACAAACAATGTCTTCAAAGCTTATTACATTAATTAAGATAATTATCTATTATTATTACATTATTTTATTACATTTCTTGCATAATTTACATTTCTAGGTAGCTGCAAACAAATTTTGTTGAAATTTTTAAACTTGGATGTAATTCCTTTTTCAACAGTCTAGTATTCTGTGTTTCCGTATGCTAGCTGTCATTATCAGATATAATATCACACTGATGACTTAAACATGATTACTCCAGTACAATTTATCAATAATCTTATTGTGGGATGCATTACAGTAGTCCCAGTGTTGCAGTGACTGATTTATACTAATTTGGATAGTATACAGAAATATATTAATGATGTAAAAGTTACACATAACAGAAAATGTCTAATGTAAAAATGCAGCAATACACAACAGCAGAACTTTTAAACTAAGTTCTTCTATCTAACCTCCTTATTGAAGAACATAGCACATTTGATAATACTGAGAATAGCACACTTTTTGAAAATACTAAGATACATTCTTATTTTGAAATTTTTAATTAGAGTAAAAAAAAAGGAGAAGAGAGGAATATGTAAAAAACTCTTGATTTCTTTTTTAGCACAGTAATTAGGTAACTTTCCTGTTAGTATCTTCTGAAATTATTATATAGCAGGACTAAATTCAAGTGAATAAGAGCCAAATGTTGGAATTCTGGGAAGGTCCAAATTTACAACATTTTAAAAGTAACGGAACAGGTTTCAAATAGAAATGTCTGATAACTTTACAAAATGAAATATGTTAATTACCTTCTTTTGAACATTGAGTAGTTTTTGTTTCATACATACATTTTATTTGCATATAAGCTTCACCATTTGCCTATGAAAGCTACTACATAGGGTGGCCTCTGTTGTATAAGGTAACAAACGATTCACTTCCTCCTTCATTACTAGATGATACTTAGCTTTTCTTATCATTAAATGAACATCAATCAGATCCATATTGGTACCATTAGAGTTGCATTCAGTATTGCTGAAATATAATCCTATGGTCATCCATTTCTTTTTACAAAGTTATCAGACAATTCTACCTGAGACCTGGTCCATTACTTTTAGAATGATGTAAATATGGATTTGCAGCTTAGTAAAAATCTAGTTGCAACTCTTGAACTTCTCTAAATTCCAACACGCTCTTATTGATATGAATTTTGGCCTGCTATACAATAATTATGAAGAGACAATTTAGATATAGACAGAAGTTATAATTATTTTCATCATAAAATAATTTAATATAAAAATAAATGTTTTATTTATGTTTGTTTGTTTAAATGTCTAATTTTTAGACTATTTTAAAATGAATGTTTTATATCAATTATTATTAAATTTTATAAAAGTGCATGCTAAGGTGGTGTTAAATGAAAACAAACAGCACTTAAAAAGCAAACACCAGTACCATTTAAAGTCAATTTGATGCCAACATACTTCTTGGCAAGGTAGTAACCGATGCAAACTTTATACATAACGGGTGGCCATAATTAAACTGACAGTGCTCACAGTGTTCTGTAGCACGATCTATTTGCGAGAATGACGACACATTTTGTAGGAAGATTACATAAGACGGGGGGCGAAGGATTCCGCGAAAAAAAAAATTAGTTCCAAAAGTCACCACTAGGGGATTATTTGGCACTGTGTAATAGAAAATAGAGTGTTAACAAATGCAAATCAATACGGAAATTACCTTTTATTTTGCATTCAAATGAGGTTCAATGTGGCTGCCGTTATTGTGGACCACATACTGCATTTTGTGCACAGTATGCACAACAGCAGAAAGAAATATGTCTGCAGGAATCTCCCGTACAGTCCGTGATAGGTTATCCTTCAACGTAGCCACGTCCTGGACACTCCTTGTTAGACCTTAGACTTAAGGTAACCCCATAGCCAGAAGTCGCATGGGCGACCGAGGTGGCCATGCAGTTGGAAAGTAACAGTTAATGACTCTTTCTGCTGTGAATTTCTGTCGTAGCATCTGTTGCCCCCGTACAGCAACGTGTGGAGGAGCTCCATTTGCATGAAAATGATTTCCCCTAGGCATCGTCTTTGCTGAAGTGCCGGAATGACAAAGCTGTTCAACATGTGGCGATATTTCTGTCCAGTAACAGAACAGGTTTCCGGTCCTGTTGGGGTAATATTCTCATAGAAGAATGGACCTACGATAAATTCTGCTGTGAACCCACACCAAACAGTTACCTTTGGTGAATGTAAGGGAATTGCTGTGAATGTGGTGGTTTGTCATCCCAAATTTGGCAGTTCTGGGTATTCACAGTTCCATTCAGGTAAAAGTGGGCCTCGTCTCCCTATAAGATCATCCATCACGGCCAAGCATCCTCCACCTCCATTCTGGCAAGAAAGGTGAGAGCAAAAGTCAATCGCTTATCATGGTCGGGGTACAGTAACTCCTGTACACGGCTAATCTTGTACGGATAGAAGTTGATAATCTTTCGTAAGATTTTCCATACCGTACTGTAAGGCATATCATAATAAAAGGTAATTTTATTCCGAATTAATTTGCATTTGTTAACACTCTATTTTTTATTACACAGCGCCAAATATTCCCCTGGCGGTGACTTTTGGAACTAATTTTTTTTCGCTGAATCCTTCATCCCCCGTCTTGTTTAATCTTCCTACAAAATGTGGCATCATTCTCGCAAATAGATTGCGCTACAGAACACTGTGAGCACTGTCAGTTTAATTATGGCCACCCGGTATATATACACATGCACTCATGTATAAAATTACAATAATTTGCAAATTGTATCTATTTTATCATAAGTATTGAATCAAAGGTACTAATTATGCTGCTGAAGAACTATGCAAATATTCAGAGTAATATACATAAAAGTATACACATATGTGCAAACACATGCATCTCCAGAAGGGATATAAATGCACAATGTGTTTGCAGCAATTTGCCTGCTCTTACTTCTTCATGACATTCGCTGAGTTCCTCTCTAGAAGAGGGTAAATTTGATAAAGTATCAGCTAAAATGAGTAGCTATAAACGTATGGATGATTAAATGAGACGGAGAAGGTAGAAACAGACTTCATAACACCCAGTGTTGTCTGAAATTTGTGGAAACAGTTTCAAGACCCTGGATCCATATCGAGAAGACCTGGAGAAGGTCAACGAAGATTCATAACTCAAGAAATTAGCTCATATGAAATTTATCATTAAGTTCCTATCTTATGGCAAAACATGAACAACTGCATTTTTGAACAAGATATTTAAAATGATGACTAAATCCTGATACTAAATCTGTATGTCTAATTGCAAAGTTTTTCAAAATAAAATAGAGAAGTTTATGAAAACTGTTTTGATAGGAATGCTTTGTAAATATAAAAAATCTAATTTTTTACATGGTCCCTATAATTCAAAAATTCCAACAACTAAATCATTAATTTATATATTAAATAAAAAACTTATACTTTATATGCAAAATTTGCCAGGATGTGCATGATTATTTGCAGTTTACCAGTTACAAATTTAATACCAAGTGCTATTTTACTTAATTATTTATTGCCAAAAGAAGTAATTTATGCTTTGTAAGTACTCAATAATTTTGGTCGAAAATATGAATTGTAAACTGATTGGTCACTGCATGTAAAAATTTGAAAACTTTTTACATTTAATTCTTTAAACTATATTTTTCTAACTCAGAATTTTAGTTCCATGGTTCTTACCTCCAGCATTTTCAGCGTTCTAAACGAACAATACAGTTGGCGCCTAAGTAAAAATTAAATATACTGATAATGCAATGTGAAATATACATCTAATTAGCTGTCATTTGTGAAAACCAGTTACATGTCACACTTGACATCTTAGGCGGCTGTCTATGTTGCCTACCATTGGAGCTGGGCTTTTCAACGAAATTCATATAAAAATTCGTATTTTACTCATAACAATCATTTCGCTGACAGCGTTGAAAGTGTTTCTAGAAAAGGAAACTGAAAAACTTCCGAAAAATTCTTTGCCTTATTTTGTTACTAGAGATACAGATCTATAATCCGACATGGTAACGAAACACATCTTTAATTACTCTTTGGAGTATTCTGCATATATACATTCCTACTTCAATTATTTATAATTGAAAATAGAAAAATCACATTATATCATAATCTTACAATCAGAAATGAGTGCAAAAAGAAAACTATTGCTGTTTTATTGTAATATATACTTACAGAATTACTATATAAGCCACACTTTTTGTAGTATATTAAATAAAATGCGTAACTTGCTGAGACTAAAATCAACGAAATTAATATAACTGATATGTCTACAAAAGTATACGCCATGGTAACTCGAATGACTGTTCCGCATTTGATTAATTACTGTACTACTATTTTCACAGAGTAAAATTAAATTTTATCAATGATTTCACACATACAACGTGATTATTACGAATCAATGATAACACGCATACAAGAACAGATAACAAAGACCAAAATACAAATTTGAATCACACTTCCTTTGTTGACAAAACTTTCACTTTCTGTTTTCAAACTTTATGATACAGCATGTTGCCATTTCATTCAAACTAAACATTCTACACAAAATTAAGCTAGTTTTATAAAGGAACAAATGCAGCACAGTTTGTTGAAATTCTTATTTTATAATTTCTATTTCATTGATATTTCCTTTTTGTACTAAAATTTTAAATTTAATATAAAAAGCATTTTGCAATTTGCGTAAATAATAATCATTGCAAGATAGCCTGTATTAATTTGTGAACTGTAGTATGTGACAAGTTTTTTGCTTTTACTTTCTGGAAGTTTAAGAGTGAAATGTTTGTCAGGCTTGTAAGCGGTGAGAATTGTACACTGTGTAATTTTGCTACTGTATTATGTAGAGTTTGATACTTATTTGTTTTTGTACTATTTTAGAAAGAAAACATAATAGCTAACAAATATAACGACACAACTAATTCATACAAACGGTATTTTAGATCCAAAGGCTACCTCTAGAATGATTTACATTTCTGTTTGTATTGTGGGTCATTTAATTTGCAAACATTTTTAGTATCTGTATAAGTAATTCTATATAATATTGAAATTTTTGGACGTAACGGAAACTCTTATTGACATTTTTCTGTTCAGTTAGGTACAGGTTTCTTTTACTGTTTTACTTTCTTTTAGTTATAGACTATTGGTAAATGCTTTTTACTATAATATCGGTATGTTTTAAAATATATACTCATTTTAAAAGATGTTAATTATTTTTTCTTTCAAATTCAAATTCAGTATTTTCCAAATAAATTGCAGTGTTTAGTTTCCGTTTTTTTAAACCTCAAACTGCTGGCTCCAAATCTTGAATAAAGAATTAGTAGCTGTAATTAGAAATAAATTTTTTTTTTTTTTTTTTTTGGTAACTGTATTTGATTATTTAGTTTTCAACCATAAGTTATTTAATTTTCTTAGATCTTCATTACATTTGATTTTAAACCATAGAATTATTATCTATCAATATATATATATATGAGGATTAAACCGCAAAAACTTTTTAATTCTTGTTGATTCAAAAAGACATCAAACTAATAATATAATCAAATTATTGTGGCTTAGAACTTTTCTGGGAATAGATGTAGTAAAGTACGAAATATATTACATGACATTGTTTGGAAAAGAAATACAAAAGCTTTAAAAAAGAAGACATTTTAAAATTATTGGCATCAATTCTATTAAATTCTTAGATGTGATATAATGTGAAATTTTTTACTGACAACATCATTTTTACTAGACATCTATACCTTTATTGCAAAAAAGTGTGTCATAAATTTATCTACTGTTATACTGAGTATAAAAATCAGTACTTTCTAAAAAATTAACATGATTATGAAAAAATCATGTTTAAATAAAAGAGTTGCTAAATTTTAAATATATCCTTGTATTTAATGATTATTTTAATCTATATTAGTATCTATGTAGCCTACAACTAATTCATAATATAATATATCGAGAGTATTTGTGAAAACTAAATACCAATCCAGGCACTTAAATGTTTTATTTTTATGGTTAGAAGTGTATTTCAAGTGAGTATGTATATTGCATTTTGTATTAAATATTTAATATTATTTATAAATGGTGGCTCATTTTTGGCTGCAAAGTACACCAGATTCTTTTTTTACACGGTTGGGGGGGGATTTGAATATTATTTTAATAATACTTAATGGTAATACTATTAACTTTTGGAATTTTCTTTCTATGCATGTACGTTACATATATTATACAGGCCCTGACTATGTCAAGTGACGAACGTGACGTCATACCAAACATGTGTAAATGGGTACATCTGTTGTCTGATAGTTAATAATCTATATGATTTTCTTTAAAGTATTTTTAATAATGATATATTTAAAGGGAAATGAAGATAAAACAACAAATTTTATTTTTGGTATCCTGAATTCATTTTTGTAGACATTTTGTGTCTACCATTATTTCATGTTTTAGTATATTTTTTGGTTAATTTTCGGATTATGGTAACTTGGCGATTATAGGCGAAAATTTGACGACCAACCCTGCTACAGCAACCTGCTAGTTTTTTTTTTAGGACGCCATTTTGTTTTCACGAAGTAAAGGCATGCATTTTTTTTTTACTCAATATTTTTTTCCAACAATCTGCTAGCCAACTTATGCTTATGCTAGAACTTTTATGGAACAAAAGTGCTTAATCATGACGAAGATTAGGTGCGAAATTGGGAGAAAGTGCAGAATCTCCCACTGCTTGCCGTGTTTTTAAGAATTGCACATGCACGATATCCATGTACACGTCGACCTATTTTCGCTTAAAAAAACATCCCAGAATCGCACAAAAATGGCATTGCGCACACTCTTCACTTTATCCATGCAAACTCCTAAAGTCCTAGCTAGTAACCTTTATCGCCTTACCAAAATGTCTCCAAACTACCTGTTACCATATTCCAATGATTAGTCTACTTTTTTTACATGTGGAAAGTACATGTTTTTACATGGAAAAATAGAATCTGATGTATATGTGAAGCGAAAACACTCCATTTTTCTATTCTTGCAAGCTAGTTTTAAAATGCATAGTGCCAGTTTTCCTTGTCATTAATTTGCTTAGTTGGTCAGTTTTCAAGTTTCTGAATGAATTCTCAGGGACGGGAGGGAAAAAAGGCACTGAAGGCTAGGTCAGAGGAATATGCAAGATGAGGCGGAATATTTATTTGCTTCCTCAGAAAAGCATTGAGCTGATGATAGATGTATAAACATTAGGTGCCTTTTGTATGTAATGTATTTTTAGTTAGCATATAAACGAAATATTTTTATGTTAACTTTCTTTTGTTTATTGGAAATACTAAATATGTGGACTAATGACATAAGACCCTAAGATTCAATAACTATGAATTATGACAGCTGCAGTTTTTATAATTGAAGAATTCAACTAATTAAAAAATTTGTATGCTACCCTACTAGTGGCTGAGTGATTAAAACTAATAAATACTGGTAGCTCTAATCTAAGGAAACAGGCTGGCTACATGGGCTTTTTTCATAGTTTTTACTATGTGTAGGATGAATGCAAGGCAATTCACCTTAGAAAGTCTTCCATTAACACATTCATACCCTTTGGCAGATAGCCTTTATGTACCTTGTCATATTCAAATAATCTCACCTAACGTAAAGTTCGCGGACTGCCATGCCAAAGGGCCTGAGTGTATAGTGTCGGTACTCTAAATATGTGGCGAGCCATAAGTCCATTGCATGGTTTGGGGGAAGGGAAGAAGGGTGGGAGACCCTCAGGAACTGAGCTAAATCGCGCTGTCACTTGAAAGGTGCTCAAGGCTGTTGCCAAGGGGAGGCGTAGTCTAACGCTCCTTGTCATGAGGAATTCTGTGAGCTTGGGCTGACTACGTCATACAAGGGAGCATGAGCAACAACAACAAATAGGTTATCATACAAAACAAAATATCCTCAAAATTCCATGGTTACCATGCTAGCCAAAAAAATCACCAAATTTGGCAGGCAATGTGTCTTGCACATCTGTACCTTCATTAGCTATAGATTTTTATTTTAAGATAGGAACTTCAGGGTCATTTTCTGCTGCCTGACTTTATAACCAGGGGAACAACTGCTACAGATGGTTCAAATCAACTTATTTTTTTCTCCCACTCGATCTCCATTTAGCTTGTTTCACTTCATGAAAAGCAGGAGAATGAAGGCTCTGTTGAACTATATAATCTCAGATGAGTTGGAGAAAATAATGCTGTGATGATGACATGCATTATAATTGTGTCAGGGGAACAATGAAAATGGCCTTGAAGTGTCTATTTTAAAGAAACAGGCTATAGCTATTTCAACTGTTCACAAATAAATCTTTTGAATGGCTAAGAATTATTTTAATCATGATATTGTATTTTTTTTTTACTTTATTTCAACACATAGCTGTGTGATTAAAATAAAATTTTCTGTTTTCTTTTGGCTAATTTATTAGAATGGTCACTAACAAAAATTTCTATCTGCAGTTTTTAAAAAGGAGAAATTTTATAACATACTATAGTAATCAATATATCATTTAGATTATAAAATCTGAAGGAAACAGTTTTTACAAATAATTATATGGTACAGGTACCCTCTTATGACTCATTCTGACTAGGAATCTGACAGTTCACATGATTTAGCGAGCATATCTTCTTTGACATCAGATGATTTTTATGTAGGAAAAGATGGAACATAGTGGAGTAAAAAATTACCCCCAAAAAACATTTGGACACGGCCACACAATATAGTGATACATTTACCTGCTGTCAAGAAAAGCTTTAGAAATTTGAAAACGGCAGCTGAGTGCTTATTGCAAATTTTGATGATGAAATAATGGAAGACTTGATGAAATCAACAAATATTTACATTTCATCAATAAGAAGTAAATTCTCTAAAGAACGTGATGAGAGAGAGCTACGCTCATCTCTTCTTTAGAGACGTCTCTTCCTTCAATTCAGCTACGCTCGTCTCTTCTTTAGAGACGAGCATAGCTGAATTGAAGGCTTTATTTGGCCTATTATATTACACTGGAGTGCTGAGAGCAGCACATCTCAATGCAAAAGATTTGTGGTTAGCTGATGTAATCAAAATAACTATTTTTCAAATAACAATGTCTGTCAACCTATTCCACTTCCTGTTGAGGTGTATTAGGTTTGATGATATAAATTCATGAACACAGCGAAAGATGGCGGATAGACTTGCACCTATTACAAAAGTTTTTAAAAAATGTATCGAAAACTCTGTTACTCTGTTTCAAGGAAACGTACTGTTTTACTCTGTTTCAAGAAAACTTGCAAAAAATATATTCTTTATCTGAATATTGTACCATTGGCGAAAAATTAGAGCCCTTTTGCGGAATGTATCAATTCAGACAATATATAAGAAGTAAGTCTGCAAGATATGGAATAAAAATTTTTGCTTTGTGCGATTCTCATACATTTTACTCATGCAGCCTAGAAATTTATGCAGGTCAGCAACCTGTCGGACCATATAGACAATCAAATGCGGCATTGGATGTTGTACAAAGGCTTGTTGCGTCCATAAGTAGCACAGGGAGAAATATAACTACGGACAATTGGTACATGAGTATTCCTTTGGCCAATGAATTATTGAAAAAGCACACATTGACATGCATTGGAACATTTCGAAAAGATAAGCGCAAAATTCCACAAGAATTTCTGCCAAATAAAAACAGGCTCTGTACTCTTCATTTTTTTTGTTTAGAGTTAAAGAATTAACTCTTACATCTTATAATCCAAAAAAGAGTAAATTGGTTCTTGTTCTATCATCCTTGCATGAGGATAATCAGATCGATCCATTGTCAAAAGAAGCAGCTCAAGCCCGAAATGATAACGTTTTACAACTCTACTAAAGGAGGTGTTGATACTGTTAATGAGTTTTGTGGAATTTACTCTGTTTCAAGAAAATGGCGCTGTTTTCCTCTAATGCTATTTTTCAGACTAATGAGCATTGTAGGTATAAATACTTTTATTATTCATCGATGAAGTAACGACCAAGTGAATATGAACCGAAGAGTTTTTCTTAAAGATTTAGCATTAGAGCTTGTGAAAGAACATCTCCTAAAAAGGGCTGCAATTCTCTCTTTCTCAAAAGAACTCAAAACTGGTGTAAAAAGGTTAGCAGGAATAGAAGATTCAGCAGACGTTCAACCTAAGAAATTCCAAAGAAGGGCTTCAGGGCACTGTGATATATGCCCCAGAAAAGATGATTGCAAAACCTCTATATCTTGTGCAAATTGCAACAATTTTTTTTTTGTAAAATACGTGTTGTCACACTATATGAGTATTGTTCAAAATGAGATAATTTGAATAATTAAACTTGGGTAAGAGGAAAAAAAACTATGTATTTATTTTTTTAATATTAATATTTAGAATCTATTCTTTGATATCAATAATTGTATGACATTATATTGAGTTTTAAGGAAAAAAGCTAGTAGGAATGCGGCCTTTTCATATTCCTCCTTTTATATTTCTATTTTATAAAACTATTCTTAATACTAAACACTTAAGTTTAAAAGATATATAAATATGAAAATTGATTTTTCTAATATAAGAAATCATATATATACAGAGGCTGTTCGCACATTTTTTAGATGATTTTGGTAAGTGGTAATAAAAAATTGTTTGCTGCAAAAGAAGTAATTGCAATTGTACTATGTTTTTAAAAGTCAAAATTATCATCTGTTGGCTTGAAAGTTTTGTTTTTATTCAAAATGGCAGAATTTAACAAAGCAGTGGTTCGAAGGCTACATTTAACACTCTTTCCGAACAGAAATATGCATACTCCGTTATGCCAAAAAACGGATGTGAGAGTCATGGTTTTGTGATATCTAAAAGCGTCGATAGGTAATATCATCAACAAAAAAGGGAAAAAAACGTCAAATTGGAGCCTCAAGTGGGACAAAAATTCCAAACAAGTGTCCAAGGAAAAAATGGACATCTTCGACTATTGCCAAAGGTAAGTTGTTTAATGTTAAAAGGAAAATCCCCCTAGTCAAAGGACAGTTGCAAAATCATTAAAATGCTCGGTTTCCACCGTAAACAAAATGATAAACTTTGATTTAAATCTTAAGAAAGCGAAAAAACGCAATGTGCATCGTCTTCTTCTAAAGCATATCGCCCAACACAGGACATGCTGCAGAATTCTATGTGAGAAACGCTTATCCAAAAAAAAAAAAAAAAATGGAAAACAGTTGTCACAATAGATGAAGCATGGGTGTATTTAAATGATTGTAATAAAAAAGGAGCCAATTATTATCATAAAAGGAGAGAAAAAATTTAAGTACATGGTTCAAAGAATCGAAAGAAAGTTTTTCTAAGGGATTCATGATTGTTGCTGGTTTTTCTTATAATGGCAAGTTAAAAATAAAAAATAAAAAAAAATCAAGATTAACTCTAAATACTATCAGGAACATATTTTATCGCCAATTTTTCTGAATGAAATACCATCGCTTTACCTGCAGTGCCATCAATCTGTGAGACTCCATCAGAACAAAGCTAGCAGTCGCACATCAAAATCCACTGTAAATTTCCTAAAAGAAATGGAACAAAAAACTGGTATCAAGACCATACCCTTCACTGATATCCCTACTAAATCTCCCGATATGTCACCTATGGATTTTTGTGCTTTCGGCAGAGTCGTAGCTAGGGTTTTCAGCACCCAGGGACAACTGAAGATTTCGCGCCCCCAACTGCTTGCCAAGGATCGAAAACATTTAATTCTAAAATATCGTAACATCAGTTTGGCGCCCCTTGGATTCTGCGTCCGGGGACAGATGCCCTCCCTTGCCCCCCTCTAGCTACACCCCTGGCTTTCGGACTTTTAAAAACTGCATTATCCAAACGTTGTTCCAAAACCCTAACAGGACTCTGGAAAGCTGTTCGGGAGGAATGGGATTTAATACCTCTTCTGCCGCTTCAAAAGGCATTATCATCCTAGAAATTGTGGTGTCGAAAGAGAGTTCAGAATAAGGGATGTCAAATAGAACATTTAAAACACAAGAATTTTATGTAATTTAGTTTTGTGAATACAATATACATCGTCTAAAAAATGTGTGAACAGCCTCTGTATATATATATATATATATGTCTTAAATAAGTAATTTTATGTAAATTTCGATTTTTATGGCTTACTTTAGGTAAGCAATATGGAAATGTGTGTATAATTTAGAGCAAGATTATCTCAAATTAAAACTGGGAAAAAAGTTTCAACAGAATTCACATAGCTATTAGTCATTTATATATTCATTAAAAAAATGCATTTATTTATATGTTGGGAGAAAAACTGCGAACAACAAACACTGTGGTAAAATTTGTCCCGCACATGTGCTGGAGGGTTAATAGTTTTGTATAATGCAGTTTCACACAAAACCGTATTATCTAAGAACCTATCGACCATGTTATAGGTGGGGTACTTGTATGATGATAATGTGAGGTGCTGTATATTTATGTGTGTCTAATAAAAAATTGTAAAGGATGTTGAGACATTTTTTTAAAAAATTTTGTATAATTATGCAGATTATTAATTTATTTTGTTTTATTTAGGCTTCAGGTAGTTTTGAAATTACTATGAAGATCACTGCTGTTTTCATTTGCCTATTAGAATGAGTGACAGCCATCATCTTGGGACATCTCCATCTCTTGGAGAAGTAGAACATATCACACATCTTTCTGAGCATATTGGCTCACTTTTCTGGAATGAAGATTATAGTGATATTGTATTACTAATTGAAGGTCAGCGAATACCCAGCCACAAAGTGATCCTTGCTTCAAGAAGTGAATATTTTCGGTAAGCATAACTATTTTAAAAGAACCTATTGTTTATTTTACTAATTAGTGTTTTGTAATTTTCTTTTTAGTTCCATTAAATTTTTCATCACTTTGTTCCTTGTTTTGTTTGATACACTTATTCAGATTAACTGTGGATTCTGTGAAGCAAGTAATGAAAACAACATATATTATAGTCTGTTTTTTCAAAATAGATTGTTGCCACCCCTCTTTTGTAGTTGTCACACGTCTCGTAATTATTATACAAAACTTATTCTCTCCAACTCATTTCAAAATGTAGTTCAAGTCAACCTTTATTTGTGCACTTTTCAGGAAACAAAATATCCAAAATGGAGATAAAGTGGAGAGAAAAAATTGGGTGACTCAAATGTCTCTTTCAGCTGTTGCTTCCATGGTTACAAAGCAAGTTGGGTTGTATAAAATAAGTCTCTATCAGACTGTAGTAGGCAAGGTAATGAACATAGTATTCAAATGAACAAATAGGTTAGTTAATAAGATGGATAATGATTTTAAACTCTTGGAACAGTTGCTTGGCCATGTTTGGCATGAGATAAATGGGAAGAGGATGTGTGTTTTAAACTCTCAGTTACAAAGTTAAAAAATGTGGTGGAATATTTTTAGTCCAAAGGGCCAATTTGCCCTGAAGGACTATTATTTTCGTTTCGACATTTTGCGTCGAAAACTTTAAAAGGCTGTATCACTTTTCAAATCATTGTCACCATATATTATTGTGCTGTCTTATATTGAAAGAAATTAAATAATGAAGAATCTGCATGTATGTATGTTTCTCGTATTGTGATAAAACAACAGTACCTAGAGCCATCAAAATTCGAATAAAGTAATCTTCCATAAAATATGGGCATGTGGAAGCCCTAATTTGAATTTGAAATTTGTTTTATTATCGATTTCAGATTTTGTAACACTTCAACGAATTTTTGATTAAAAACTAAACGATTTCAAAGCGAGCAATGGCAATACTGCAAAAAAAAAAAAAAAAAAATCCAGCGCACAAGACTGTTTATCGGAAATTCTAAAGATATGCTCATTTTAAAATTAATTTGTGATATTGCTGTTGAACTGAATTTTATAGTTTGAGTACATAGAACATGATATTTAATGAATAAAGGTAACACATAAAACTTTAAAAAAATGCCCCTTTGTATGTAATTTAAAATCTGAGCGCTTTCAGATTTTTTTTGAAAATTGAGTTGTGTACTGTCCACTCTTTTAAAGTTATCGTCAGTAAGGTTTTCAATCTTTCCTTTACTAATGGTGTTATTTAATCAGTACAGTGTTAAGAGAAATGTCTTTTGTAATAAGGTAGTATGCAATCTATCACTTATAGTTAATGTTTTTCAAATGGTTCCTCTAAAATTGGTTCAAAAGTCGTTAATTCGGACACCCATAGTCCGGAATGATCTATAATCCGGACCTCAAAGCTACAAACTTTCTGCGCATGCGTCGCGTTGACGCAAGCGCATAGGCGTTTACGTGTGCGCGTAAGACCTTTACGGCTGTGCATATGCGTGTGCGCATAAAACGTTTACGCATGCGCGTTTAATGTATAACGGACGGTATAAGCTAAGCTAAAATTATCTAATTCAGTTAATGTTGCAGATTGCATTGTTCCTTAATCTTCGAATTGGATCCGGCTTATTATTTTTTGCAGACTGTTAGAGCAATTTTATAAAAGGAAGCTTGAACTTTCGATTATATCAAAATAGAATTTCCGATATATATTTGCTAATATGTAAAGGATCTAAAGCAAAAGTATGTTTCAAAATCCGAAATCTGTTTATCAATTTCATGCTGCTCGGCGGGGGGAACGCTGCGGTGTGCAATGAATTGGAAGTTGATCTGTCAGCACTATCCTTATCTTCAGGGCAGATGTTTTTATTTGGCTTATAATTTTCCTTACTAAATGTAGTATTTCATCTCAATGTACTCCGTCTTTGATATGATTTAAAACAAGTTCCTCGTCATTATAATTCGCTTCCGATAGTGAAGAAAGTGACAGAGGTTATTGAAAACGAAAAAATTTCGATTGACAAATTAGTCGGTATTCTCGACACAGCAATTATAGGACTTGAACAGTGGAACTTTGTAACTAAACAAGAAATTATGTCTGTTTAATAGAATTAAAGAGAAAGTATTATCACATGAAACGAAGCAACTTAAACAACTTACATTGAAAGAAATGTTTAATAAAGAAAACAAATAATTATTAAGCTTTTTCTTTTTGTAAATTTTGATACCTTTTTAGATCATAATTGTTCTTTATTTCATAAATTACGGTTTCATATTTTTAATTTTGTAATTTCTGCATGCCATCTTACCTGATTTAAACTGATGATCTATAATCCGGAAAAATCGATAATCCGGAATCGCCGAAGTCCAGACGAGTCCAGATTAACGACTTTTGACTGTATCATATTTATGTGAAGTTTATACAGGGAATGTGTGCCCAAAATGATTCTAAAACTTAACTTACAGCAAAAGAAAGAAAAATGCCTTCATAAATATTAAAAATATTTTCAATAAAATTTTCATTTATAACCAGGGTTCATACAATCCTTAAAGTAGTACTTAAAAATCTGTAGGAAACAATTTTTGGTCCTTTAAAATCTTAATATTCTATATGTGGAATTAAAAAGAAAGTATTTGAAGTGCATCCATAAATATTGAGCTTTTTAATATTTTGATTCGCTTAAAATGTGTCATTATTTCATTAATTAAGGCACAATAACACGCCGAACAAATACTAATTCAGAAGTCAAACAACAAAAATCAGCGTTATATTTTCAAAATTTTCACAGGACTAGTTTCAATGGTTTTACCGAACCACCATCCTCAGCTGCAAAACCGCAAATGAACAAGATAGGAAATAATGATTAGATAAGATAAGATAGCCTGGACAAGAATAAGCAAGTGGCATCATCTGTTGGTGAAACCATAACTAAATTTCTTTAAAGGCCGAAGGCAAAGATGGATTGGAATTAGGATTGTTAGCTAGAACAGAAAGATTTTTTTGAATGTGAAATGCCTCTAGAAAATCCAATTCTCCAATGGAAGATGTTTTTTGAATAATTTTGGCAGCAGAAAAATTGAAAGTGTGATTTTCGGACCAACAATGTTGAGCAACAGAAGACTTCTGTGTTTCCTTTTTTCTAACATATGCCTCATGTTCCTTGACGTGAAATTTTAAGACTCTCTTAGTTTGCCTAAGGTAAATTAAACCACACTGCCAAGTAATCCTATAAATACCCCAGGAATTCATATCCGGAATGGGGTCCTTGAGTATTTAACTTGGAATTTTATTGATGGGAGAATAAACAACCCGAAAGTTAAATTTCTGCAAAATATGTGCAACTTTATAGCTAATTGATGGAAAAGAAGGGAATGACAACAGAATTTTTATAATCTCCTAAAACAAGAGTGTGCCTTTTAGTGTGTTGAGATGAGAATATTTTACTGCTTGATTAATAAGCTATAAAGTTGCACATATTTTGCAGAAATTTAGCTTTCGGGTCGTTTATTCTCCCATCAATAAAATTCCGAGTTCCATTCTCAAGGACCCCATTCCGGATATGAATTCCTGGGGTATTTATAGGATTCCTTGCCAGTGTGGTTTAATTTACATTGGCCAAACTAAGAGAGCCTTAAAATTTCGCATCAAGAAACATGAGGCATATGTTAGAAAAAAGGAAACACAGAAGTCTTCTGTTGCTCAACATTGTTGGTCCGAAAATCACACTTTCAATTTTTCTGCTGCCAAAATTATTCAAAAAACATCTTCCATTGGAGAATTGGATTTTCTAGAGGCATTTCACATTCAAAAAAATCTTTCTGTTCTAGTTAACAAATCCTAATTCCAATCCATCTTTGCCTTCGGCCTTTAAAGAAATTTAGTTATGGTTTCACCAACAGATGATGCCACTTGCTTATTCTTGTCCAGGCTATCTTATCTTATCTAATCATTATTTCCTATCTTGTTCATTTACGGTTTTGCAGCTGAGGATGGTGGTTCGGTAAAACCATCGAAACTAGTCCTGTCTAAATTTTGAAAATATAATGCTGATTTTTGTTGTTTGACTTCTGAATCACTATTTCATATTTTTAAGTTTTATAATTTCTACATGTCTTCTTACTAAATTTAAATTGATGATCTAATATCCGGAAAAATCCCAAATGCAGAATTGCCAAAATCAAGGTGAGTCCAGATCTTGAACTTTGTTGTGGGTTATCTGGGTTCTGTTAAGAAAACAATTGTCTAAATTTGTCAGTACTAAATTTAAACCCGTTTTAGTAACATATCTTTAACATGTCAGTGATTCTGAAATTCCTCTTCTGATTCTCTTGCGATTAATTTTGTGACATCGTTGGGTCTGAAATACTTCAGAATCAAAACTTTTATACACTAGTTATATTTTATGCAAAAGCAAAATTACTGTGTTCGAAACAAAACAGTACTCGTCTCTATATTAGATTATTGCATAATAACTCCATAATCTTAACACACGGCTAATATTTTATGATATCAAAGCAATGATTTGTAAAGATAAAAATATGTGTAAAATTAATGAATTCTTATCTGAAAATAACTAATGCCAGTTTAGGGGTTTGCATTATTATGCAGCACACATCAGGATCCATTTTCAGCATACTGGGGGCATACATCTGATCCTGTTCAAAAGGTAGTCCAAGATGTTTGTGTAGGTGGCTGCATTGAATATTATCAGGGTTTGTATGGCCCTTAGTTTTTTCGAAAAAGATTTTTGGTCCTTAAAAGTCCTTAATTTTGTCAAAATATCTAAACAGTCCTTAATTTTGCTCATCTGACATTTCTTTTCAGTTCCAGTGACTGCCATTCTAAGTGTCACATTTGGCGAAAATTGTGCCAACGTTGGCATATTGGTTTTCAGGGGACAGAAGAGATGACGAAAAAAAGGAGAGGGGGATTCTGAAAATATTTTCCAAAATTAAAATAATCTAAATCTGAGAGGTGATATCTGCTTCAATACCAATACGAGCAGCATAAAGCATTCTTTTGGAATAGTAATTCTGCATCAAATAATGAAAGAAAAAGGACTAATGTTTGGCTGTTGAGGGAGTTTGTATGTCAGACTATAATTTGTGTCTAGGAAAATTTGAAGAAAATTATTATTTTAGGAACCATTTAGTTAGCTCTGCAGTAAACGCTTTCGTTTCAGGTGCCTGAAAAGTTTTCAATAAACTGTTTTTGCAGTCAGCTTGATAAAGAGTCATTAAACTGACTGCAAAGACTGGATATTAATGGATAATATCCTCGTAAAGTTAAATATGGTATTTGCATGAGACAAAATTCTCTTTCTAGAATGGTACAAGTCAACAGTTTTATTTTATTCAATTCTTATTTGGTGATAGGCCCTTAATTTTCTTTCATTGTCCTTAAAAGTCCTTAGGAGTCCTTAATTTTCATATAAGCGAGTGTGTACAAACCCTGTATTATGTGTTCTGACAAATATTCTTTATTAATGAACCCTTTAGCAACTTTGTGCACCTATTCTTTTTGGATTTCAGTGACCTTAGGCTAATCCCTGCCTCTTCAGTGAACTGTGAACTGGATCATAGTTCAGATGCCACAGTTCATCACCCATATCAGTCCATTTGGGAAAAATGGCATCACTATCCACTTTGTCAATAACATCTCCACACATCTCAGTCCTGTCTCGTTTCTGATCAGGAATAAGTCTGTGAAGCATTTGAACTTTCAATAAACAGACTTTAATCAAGAATTGACGAATTTTCTCATTGTTTTCATCAGTACACCATGCAACAGCAAATACAAAAATAGAAGCTATATGTGAGATAGAACTCGTATAGCTTCTATTTTTGTACTTAGCTGGACAATACCTAAAACCAAAAATCTTGTTTTATCAACTACAAGTCTCCCCATATTAACAGTTAATTTTAAAATTTGCACAAATGAAGATTCTTTACAAAGTTACCAGATTATAGAATAAAGTTCCTATAAACTCAGTTTAGTGATCCCAAATGTATTTCATGCCATTAAAACAGTCTGTAACTTTGAATTTAAGCCATAGTAGGATTTCTGAATTAAAAATTTGGCGAAATAGTGAAAAATAGTAATCCTCCAATTTAAGCTCAGCATGATTTTAAAATAGGAAAATTAATTTTAAAAGTGATTATGTAATACCATATTTCCTCATATATTGCCCCTTCTCACATATCCCCCCCCCAGCATTTTAGGGCTGTGTTCTGAGAATTTTAGAAATATTTGCACAATTTTCACCTTCCTCTGTTGTACATAGGTTTTCCCTCTGAGGACTAGTTTATTGATTATTTTTACTTAGCATATTTATATTTGTATTTTTATATTAGCATTTCACCCATTTTGTTTTCCCTTGCATTTATTATTTGAAGTGTGTTTTAAGCAGATTCTCTGTTAAGCTATCTGGATGTGACAGATGTTCTCACACGTAAGAAACTTTCCAAATATTTGATTTCAGCTTACTTCTGTTATTTGTATTCCAGCTGATTTGATTCTCATCTCCTGATGTTACAGTCTTTCGAAATCTTGGTCTTATGCTTGCCTCTTTCTCCTTTGTTCCTCTGAGTCCCTCTTGGGGACTGTGGTCATGACTCATTCATATAAAGTGCTTCCAAGACTCTACAGTGTGCCATATATCTAGCTCAGTTACCATCAGATATTTTAATGTTAATATTACTATGTATTTTTATTGGAATGTAGGTTTCTTTTAAAGAAATTTTATTGTGATGGTTACCAGTAATTTATCCATGACTATTTTTTATTTGTTTTGTTCTTACTGTAACCGTGTTCTTCAGAAATACTCGCATAATTTTCCGATGATAAAAATAGTTAAAAGGGGGAAAATATGAGAGGAAATACAGTACATATATAAGAAATTTTTTAATTTTTATTTAAATATATTCTAATATAAATAAAATAAGCTTCATAAGGCCAGTAATACTTTAGATTTAACTTTTATTGGACCCTAAATCCAGATCAGTTACTGCTATTACACTCTAATTTCAGTACAAAAATTAATGTGGCCATAAGTGTGCCACACATTTTTTAGGGTAAATTGGGTACAAAAATTTTTAATTTGAAAATTTTGCAGTTTTGGCTAATCTTTGGAATATGGTAACAGGTAGTTTGGCGACATTTTGGTAAGGCGATAAAGATTACTAGCTAGGACTTTAGCAGTGTACATGAATAAAATCAAGAGTGTGCACAATGCCATTTTTGTGCAATTCTGGGATGTTTTTTTAAGTGAAAATATGTTGATGTGTACATTGTTAGCATGTATGTGCAATTCTTAAAAACGTGGCAAGCAGTTTGCGATTCTGCACTTTCTCCCAATTTCGCACCTAATCTTCGTCATGATCAAGCACTTTTGTTCCATAAAAGTTCTAGCATAAGCGTAATTCGGCTAGCAGATTGTTGGGGAAAAAATGTTGAGTATTTAAAAAAAAAAAAAAAAAAAAAAAAAAAGAGCCTTTACTTTGTGAAAACAAAATGGCGTCCAAACAAAAACTAGCAGGTTGCTGTAGCAGGGTTGGTCCCCAAATTTTTGCCAAAAAATCACCAAGTTACCATAATTCAAAGATTAACTGCACTTTTATATTAACTGTGAGTATCACTATTTTACATATGAGAGGGAATGTAGATTTTAGATTCGTGTATTTTTGGTCAACTCGTGCGTGAGTTACGTATAATTGACCATAAATGTAAGGCTGTTCTATTTAATATAATTATAAAACATTCTTATATTTTAGTGCTTTATTATATGGTGGTTTAAGAGAATCTCAAGAAGCGGAAGTTGAATTGAAGGGAACATCGCTGTCTGCATTCAAAGTTCTCCTTAAATATATTTATACTGGTCATATGACATTAGCCTCCCTTAAGGTAATTAATGTGCTTTGTATTTAATTTTTAAGTTATTGTTTAAAATATATAATGTTTCGCATAGTTTCTATTTTCTTTTATTTATTTATTTTTTCAAATTTTATTTTTAAATATTTATAAATATGATTATCGTAATTATTTATCTGCCAATAATAGGTATAAAATTGTACAATAAATTTAAAATTTAATTTTGATTATTATTTCCTCTAATATTAAAGTTTCATATTAAGATTTGAATCAAAATGTAATAAAAATGCTTGCTTTTTACTTAATTTTTTAAATGAAGTGATGCTAATATTTTCAAAAAAATATATTTTATGAAAACGTTTTTCCTGTAACATAACTGCCAACTCTCTGTTTTTCATCATATCTTCTGGTAGTTCACTAAATTTCCCAACTTTGAGTTTTCACGTATTATAAGGAAAGTTGTCTCCAGCAATAAAAGAAGTTGTCTCCAGCATTAAAAGAAATTTATTGGATTAATTAAATTTAAATATTGCAAATTCCATTTCTCAATCTCTAATGGTTTTCAGCATAGTTTTTTGTACTGAATTTGATTTGATCTGATTTGTTTTAAACAACTCTAAATATTTGTAGAATTTTTTATAAAGATTCAACCAATATTCAACCAATTAACATTTATATTTAAATTTTTTTCATTAATAAATAATATATTACTAAGTTTACTCGCACAATAAATACATTATTATTTTCATTGTATTCAAAAAGCTCTCTTCTCATGATTTTCTCCATATGAAAGTGTAAAAAAAATTACGAAATGAAATTAGCCAAAGAATGTAAGATTTAGAATATCTAATTAAATATTTTACATTGCAATCATATTATAAATAAATCATTGATCCTAGTTAGGGATTATTATTTTCATTGTATTCAAAAAGCTCTCTTCTCATGATTTTCTCCATATGAAAGTGTAAAAAAATTACGAAATGAAATTAGCCAAAGAATGTAAGATTTAGAATATCTAATTAAATATTTTACATTGCAATCATATTATAAATAAATCATTGATCCTAGTTATGGATTATAAAGTGAATTTTAAACTAGTTTGGAGGGCTTTTGAAATCACATCATTACAAAATGCAAAAAACTGTTATAAGTTTGTGGTTTTTTCAAGGTTGGCAGCTATGTGTGTGGTTAATTTTCAGCTTTCTTCTCATGTCTATGTAAAAATATTTGTGTTAGTATTTTTTTACTTTCTTCGTCTCCCCTCTCATTGTAATCTTAGTAAATATATTATTTCATAATGAATTCTGTAAAAGAGAGTTATATTAATATAATCTTTTCTATATTGTCTTATTAATGGCATAGTATTCATGTAATCATTTCTAAAATATCTTAGTAATGGGTTAATATTAGTGTAATCTGTTTCAAAATATCCTATAAAAACTTAACTTTTAAAATATTCTGCATACATAATAGGTTAATAGTGTATTTACATCTTGTAGTGTATTTATTATTGATAAATAAATATTTTAGCATTAACTGATAAATAAATGCTTGCTTTTTCTTTTAAATTAAATGTAGTTGTTTATTTTACATGTGCTATATACTGGTTGAAAACTATATTTTTTACAGTTCTGTTCGGTTTTCAGCACCGTAAAAAATCGCCAAACAATTATTGACACCAGTGCTGCCAAAAATAATTGTGGCAACCCTAGCGCAAGAAAGGAAGTATAATAGTAAATAACTATCTAAAGATTGATGTTTTAATTTAGATGAAAGGTTAATTTCATATAACACTTTTTTATTATAATTTATATAAAAAGGCTAAACAAGACTGAATGGAAGCATAAGAGTAAATAACTATTTCAGATCATTATTATAATTTATATAAAAATTGCTAAACATAACCGAATGGATGCCTGCGTCGCTATTTCGCTACTGAGTTATTGCTAAAGCATAATTTCATCTCGTTGGTTATTCAAACATAATTTTCTATCATGAATGATGCCTTTTTTTTGAAAAACTTCTCGTCGAAGTGCAGAATCGCCCACTTAATTGTTTGCTGCTTTTTACAAGGGTAAAAACTTTTGTCAAAAATAGGTCAATATGTACATAGATAAAGTCAAGGGTATGCGCAGTGCCATTTTTATGCAATTCTGGGTACTTTTTTTTTTTTTGAAGTGAAAATAGGTCGATGTGTACATGGATACCGAGTATGTGCAATTCTTAAAAACGCGTCAAGCAGTGAGTGATTCTGCACTTTACCCAAAATTCAATTTCACACTTTTCGTCATGGGCAATTCCCAAATTGTTACATCCATAGGATATCAAAAAAAAGAATTTAAAATCAAAAAAAGGATTTAAAAATTAAACTAGTATTTCATTGGCGTCTTAAGAAATATAAAACTATATAAACTTACACAATGGGAAATCAGCGCGTACGCTAGATTTGGCATGCTGTTAAATGGGTGCATTTGCTAGATTTGGTGCTTTTGCGCATACATTTTTGCTGCATTTTTTTACAGTCTTCAAAATGGAATAGTGTGATGTAGCCGTTCCTCAATAGACACTAATGCCGGCTAGCTTTAAAAGGATTTATTAACAGAGCACACAGGAACGGTTACAAACAAAAGAAATATACATAAAAAATGAAACATATACCAAATGGAACATCAAACATTGAGAATAACATAACATAGTAAGCTATCATCATGGCGGCTGGAGGTCGACTGACGTTTTTTCATATCGCCACGAGATGGCGTTTAAATAAAATAGTTCAATTACACTTAAATAGGTCTGTTACAATAGTACCTTTTTTACTATGTTTGAATTATGTCTGCTATACTGTTTAGTTCAAACTTTTATCAATACATTAACTTATAAAATGCTAATATCAATGATAAAAATAAAATGCAAAAATGCTAATCATGCATTCAAGTATGTATATTCTTCAGAAAATGTAGTTGTGCGTACGGTTATTTGAGTATGTTTAAAATATATAGTATTTTCCAAGATGCTTCTTCTTCTTTTTTGTTTGTTTGTTTATTATTATAGTAACAAAATATTTTAATTAATAACTTATGCTATTCTAATGTATTTTGAGTTTTGAATTTTGTTGTATATAAAAGCAATAAAAAATGCTGTGAATCCTACTAATAGGCATTTTATTTTATTTATTTATTTATTATTTTTTTCCAGGAGGAAATGGTTCTTGATATTCTGGGTTTGGCACATCAGTATGGCTTTGTTGAATTAGAAACAGCTATTTCCGACTACTTAAAAGCTATTCTGAATATTCGTAATGTGTGTATGATATACGATATGGCTAGTTTATTTCACCTGTCTTCCCTTGCTGATGTTTGTTGTAGTTTTGTTGATCGTAATGCTCTTGATATAATTCATCATGAATCATTTCTTACATTGTCTGCCGTAAGTTTAAATTATATGTTATTTCCAATTTTATGCATTTTTAATATTCTAATTTATATGCCAAAATTTGTTTGATTACATCACACATGGCCAAATTGGTGGTATAAATGATGTTACAACAGCTGTGTGCAGCTGTTTATACCATCATGTGTAATTCATAGCTTTATTTTTTTAATACATTGATGTTCAAAATGAAGAGAATTTTCACATTTATGGAATCAGCTGGCCAGGAGACTATCTGCTTCGTTTCATGAACTTGCATTTTGAGAGCTGTATGCTTTATTATCCTCTTTTTTGGTTCAAACTTGCAAGCTCTGGTTTAGACATTCCTGTCCCACTTTAGATGTGATCATTCCTATCTTGCATGACTGTTATGGTAATTTTTTATTCCAAATATAACTAACAAAATGTGAAAATTCTCTTAATTTTGAACACCAGTGTGTAATGATAATTTTAAATAGGTATAACATTATGACATCCTTTTTAACAGTGATTATGATTACTTCAAAACAGTTTCAATATGTGTGCCATGTATTAACTGTCAAAATGAACAGAACGTTGTTTATCATGTTTCTATGACTGTGACGATGTTATTTTTAGAATAGTCACTCAATATCAAAAGATGAAAAAAGACAAGTGCATCAACAATATGCTGAATTAACAGTATGCATTCAGTTTTATCAAGCAATATTTATAAATATGTATAGCTGTACTTTGCACTAAAAAAACTAAAGATTTTTTTAAAAAGGATTTTTCCAGCTGTTATAAAGATAGCAAAAAATCATAGAACAAAATGTTGCATATGTGATTCAATGATATTTTCTTATATTTTTGTGAGACTTCATTTATATTAAAAAAAATAAAAATCCAGACTTTTTGGATAATCGAATATTTATTTATGGTGGATGGATAAGAAATCTAGTTGTTGCTATCGAGAATTTCTAAATTCTTATGTGGCTGTTATTGGCATCAAGTTTGATTTCCGTAAATTTACATCATGTTAATTTATTGGTAGTATTGACATTGACCATCACCATGTTTCTGTAATTTCACAGTTAAAAAGTATTTTGATATTTTAAGTTCATTAATAGTACTAAGTTTCACACTGCTTCTCATCTGGTAAACTGTTATTGATATTAAAAATTGGTACTCTTCTATTATCAGGACCGGAATCAGAAATGTATGTGTATATGTATATAAATGCATACATGAACAGTATATCCAACCATATTTGCATACATACATTTCTGAATCTGGTCCCAATAACAAAACAATACCTAAAAGTTATTAGCTCTTCTGTATGCTGTTAGCTTCTCTTGGCAAAGCCATATTAATCATTTGGAATTTGGAGGCTACGTGACCTAACAAAAATGTGTCAAAGTGTGTGTGGGGCAACAAAAATATAACAGGCTGCATATAAAGTTAATATTTATTTACAAATATATATATATATCATTGCATCTGATAAAATATGTTTACTTTTTAATCCAGAAAGTATTTGTTAGGAAATGAAGCATAACTTTTTTTAACATGATCGTTGAGCTTGTTAGACCTGTGCATTTTTTTATAGTTACACCATTGCTCCAAATTAATACTTTACTGATCGATAGCCTGTCAGTCGGCATTTTGACACTGGTGCTTACCAACTGATAGCATATTCATACCTGCCAACTTTTACGAATTTTTTGTAATTTTTACAAAAATGCGTTTGTCTTTACGATTGTAATCCATTTTTTACGTTTTTTTTCCTTTTTCAAGTGCTTTTAGTGATTTTTGACGAAATTTTAGAATTTTTCGCCAATTCAGCGATTTTTGCCAATTGCATCGTGTTTTACTGCCAACTACCAACTACTTCGAATCCAGTAACCTGCGGTTCCTCCCAACTCGCCGCTTAACCAGCCAGTCCAATGCGCTGAACTTGTTTCTCCCACTCTTTTCTTTGTGGGCGCCAGATTATTTTTTTAGTGTGGATTGTCGCATTCTGTTTTTTTTTTTTTTTTTTTCACATGCTACGAATTTTCTTAACACGTCGTTGTTATGAAATGAGTTAAAAAAAACCGTATTCTCAATATTTTCGGCCTGCCTACAAAGCCGAATTTCCAACAATTAAAGAATCCTTCAAAGGAAAAACTATGCATTTTGCAACGTGTGCGTGTGTGACTTTATAATAAGTCACGGTGGAAGAAGCTACAAAACCAATTTTCTGCTGCACAGTTTGAAGACTTTGCCAGTTCTGGAGAAGATAGACTTGATGTCCTCATTGGTACCTTAAAAAGAATAAAAAGAGCTGATGGAACACCAAAATACGATAGACTAGCAAGAGTTTTATGTGCTATTCTCGTAATTCCACACAGTAATACTGAGTGCGAGAGAGTCTTCAGTGCTGTGAAGAAAAACAAAACTATGTTTCGTTCTTCAATTTCACCGAAAACTCTAGAAAAACATTTTAATTGCTAAATGTTTTGAGGAAACTAATTGTTATGACAGAAAATTTTCCAAAGAATTTTTGGCTAAAGCTAAAAAATGCACTGTAAATTCATTGCAATAATTTTTTTGTGTAACATTAAGTTCTTGTTTTATGTTCCCTAATAAATTTTTTTGTTACTACTTAATTGAGATTTACTAATGTAAGTACAATTTTCTTTTTTCTATTTGTATAAATTGTTATTTTTTTAATATCAAAGCATGATATTAATTCTTCGTGTTCTTCTGAATTTTGGAGAAATCTTCTGAATTTTTATCTTTAGAGGTTGGCAGGTATGCATATTAATCAGCTTTAACAGAATCTAGAAGCAATGGTAAAAGATTAGATGACCCAAGAGAAAGCCTAATTCAGTCATAAATGATAACAAAATGTATGAAGGATCAAATATATGATGAATATATGATCATACAGACCAATATCTACTGTATTACTGCATTTTTTAGGGGAAAAAAGGGGAAAAAATGGACTAACTGAGTAGTAATGTTTTTTATCAACTGTACTCTTTTCAGTTCATTTATTGTATCTATAATATTATTCCATTTTTAGGGAGGGAAAGGGCTAAATGAGTTTTAATATTTTTTTATCAGCTGTGTTGTTTTCAATTCATTTAAAGCGTACACTGTTCTAAGTGGAACAAATGTCAACTACAAGAATTTCCTGCACAAACTGGCAGTTTCATGGATAGAAAAATGTAAAACTTCTTGTACAGAAAACGATGATGATCTATCTAATTCTGAACTCATTAGGAGAATACCCAAATTAGATCATTCTCGATGACTGTTGAATTTTGGAAAACATAAATTTATAAATATAGTAACCAGCTGTCCAAGACTAAAACAGCAAAAACAATGCAGAGTTTGTGCAGTTAAAAAAAAAAGTAGAATATGTCTGTAAGTTTTGCAGTGTTCCATTATACGAAGGGCACTGTTTTGAATGATATTATATTTTTAAAAAATACTAAACTATTTCTTATTTGAAGTACTTCAGTATATGGATAATGGTATATTATATAACTGTTAAACTGAAATCTGTTGTAATAGTTAACTATAATTTAGCATTAATATCAATTGAAATGAATGGTGATATAAATAAAATAAATGAAAATAAAAGATTTTATTAAATCTAATTATCCTGTAGTAACAGAAAGCGGGCAGTTTTATCTGAGCGTACAAAAAACGTAGATATTCCTGCACAGAAGTCTAAACTGAAACAGAGCCAAGTGGTCGATCGGACGTGTATATGCTGTTGAGCAGCTTGCAGTCAGTAACTTGTTAAGAGAATTTTCACATTTGGTTGGTTTTTCTCTTGAAATGAGAGACATATTTTAGGAAATATGGTATGTATATTAATATATTGTATTTACTTGCAAATTTCTACCTTTTTCATTAATTTTATTCCACAGAAATCGAAAGGGGAAAATTATGTGAATAATTTTATTCCAAAGAACTCATTACAGTAAGACCATAATAAATAAAAGGTATCACACATAAACTACCAGAAGTCTATTTATTTAAAAAAACCTACATTCCAATAAGATTACACTGTAATATTTATATTACAATATCTAATAAGATATCTTCAATTCTACCTTCCCTTTATCTCGAGTCCCACCTGCTGCTATTGTTGTCCACTGCTATTTCCTATGCCTCAAATAATTTAATGTTGCTGAAATTCCTATTTGTGTCATCTGCTACAGCTTGTAAATCATTGCTATCGTTCAGTTTTCCCATGTGCAATAATCTTCAAAATAATATCCAGATTATTAGAAATCCATTAAATAAACATAAAACTCTCCAGTATTATCATTTTGTCAGGGAGAACCCTTGTAACCAAAATCCATGAGCAATCTAGTTACTTAGATAAAAATTATCACTATGTAGGAGCAAATCCATTTTAAAATTTAGAGAAGCTTCCCATATGAATGCCGTGCCGTGATTAAAGGAAAACTGCATGAATTCTTTAAAAAAAAGTGAGAATTTATGCTAAAATGGTAGGGGGCGTAATACATAGTTTTCGCGGAAATATTTGGCCTGACTAGAATTGCCGGTTTGGCTTTAACTTATGACTTGAATAAAGACGAAACACTTTCGTATTTACGTATTTTTATCAATTATTGTTCATTGAGCGGGAGTTGGTTTGTTCCCCTTGAAAAGTCAACTAATTTCCGATCAATGACAATGATTACATGTTTTAATTTTTCCTTTTACAATTGAAATTATTCTTCGTGATGATTTAACTCGTCGCGTTAAAAAAATTCTTAAATTTCAAAAGCTTCAAAATAAATTAGATTAAAATTTACTTTTTAACTAATAAATATCAATATATACGTGAAAAAATATATATATAATATATGTAAAATAAATAAAAAAAAAAAAATACGATGGCTTTGCTCTTTGCGAACCAGCAACCTTTAATTAATTTTCTGCAATTCAGGATCGTCCCCTAACCCAGTACCTGCTAGAACATTCACGCCTATTACATAACCTCCTCATATAAATGCTGCGAGTCATAAGTT